CCCCAAAACCCCAAAACCCCAAAACCCCATAGTAAGATACAAAATTTATAGCAAGACAATACATTAATTAAATACTTTTTCAAATACAGCCATTGTTAGATTATATATTTTTGATGAAAATTATATTATCTCCTTTAATAGATTTATTAAAAGTTATTAATTTAAATTCCAGTTTGTTAAATATGGTTCTAAAAGCAATTAACAAAAGGCTGTTTTCTGAGAATATTAGGGATCTGTCGCATTTGAAGCAGACTTGTTCTATAGATTACCATTAATTTTTTGATAATAGCAAGCATGAATAAACATTTTAGTTAATAAAATCAGGTATTCAAAATGAATCAAGTACTGGGCTAGTTATTATTACAAATGTTCCTGAAATTGAAATATTAAGAAATCGACTCTTTAAAAGTTTTAGAGATTTCTTAGTTCTCCCAGATCCTTATCTTTAGAATCTATAGAAAGTTGAATATGGTTATGGAATAGGTTGGAATCAAGGCGGGAAAACCTAGAGATATAAGTGGGATTCTGAGGCTGATGAACCTCTGTCGCAGTCATTTTATGCTAATCCCGTGTAAGATGATTTTTTAGATCACGATGGTCGACAATGTCAAAATGTTTGGCCAACAGAACTAATGCCATAGTTTGAAACTGACTTTAAATCAACTATTAAGCCTATGATGAAAGTTGGAATGAGATTCTGTGAATTTATTGACTAGATTTTGATTGAGATGTACCCTGGATATAACCCACTTTTGAAAATCAACCTTGAAAAATCAGAAAAAATGAAGGCTAGGCTACTGCACTATAAGGCTGCTTCAAATGTTTCAAGTTCCAGCGTAGCAAACCACAATTTAGTATAGAATGTTCAAAACCCTGTAAAATTAGCCTCTTGGCACAAAGACTATTCGTTAGCGACCTTGCTTCTATCATCTGCATTTATCAACAAGCAAGGCCTTACTGTTGATAGTTTGAATGGAAAAGGTTTGGTTGTGATTGATAATGCAGGATAACATAGAGAAGTTGATATACCTGAAAGCGCGATAGCAATACAGATCGGAGAAATCATTGAAATAATGTCAGCTGGTAAAATAATGGCTCGCCCTCATGCAGTTATAAACAATTACTGTAAATCTTTGAGAAGATAAAATTTGGCTCTCTTTTTGGAGCCACCATATCAAGCAAAGATAGAGGTACCTGTTGACCATATTAGTTTTGCAGAGTACTAGAATATCGCCTCACTAAATGCAAGATGGAGAAATAACATGACATTTAGAGAGTTTTATGTGGCTTGCAGAAAATACTATCGGTAAGAAACAGATGCAGTAATTCATTTTTACATTCCAAGCGATCGAGCTGAATACCATTTCTTATCAAATTTTTATGAAGGTTCTCCCTTCCAAATCAATGGCAAAATGTACAAAACTGCTGAGCATTATTACTAGAGCCAAAAATTTGCAAATTTCAATGAAGAATTAAAGGAGAAAATTATCGCAGCTACCTCTCCCGCAGAATGTAAAAGGGTTGCTAACGAGTATCAGATGCTCGATTCACAGACTAACTAAAACTAAAACCACTGGAATAAATGGGAAAAAATCAAAGTAGACGTGATGTAAATTGCCATAAATGAAAAATTTGGACAGAATCAAATACTAAAGGAGAGACTTGTTTAGACTGGAAATGCGATCCTAAAAGAAAATAGTCCATTCGATTATTTTTGGGGCGGTACTTTAGCTGGCTCCAAAAATTAATTAGGAAAGCTATTGATGGACTATAGAGAGCGCCTCCGAAGTTATGTTTGATTTTAAGCATTATAAATTATAATTTTAAGTACTGATTAAATCATAATTTTGTCGCCTCAAAGAACACAGCTGAAGGATTTTACAACCAATCATCCCAAAACTGTGAGTCAGCACCTGGTGGCAGTTCGTGATTTACCCATCTTATTTTAAATCCTTCAAGCAAAAAGGCTTGTTCCAGTGTTTACACGCTTATAAAAGAGTCAACAATATCAACTTTGCCGTCCTCCCAAGCTAGCTGTACAAAAATTTCGTCGAAATCTTCTTGTGGAAGTTTTGAGGCAGTAGCAATAACCCCATACTTATGCTAAAAGTGGTAATTTTCAGGAGTTAACTTCATATTTCTGGTTATTCCAACAAACCTTCCATTAGAATTCAGCAACCCGTATGCAGTTCTTATGAAATTTTGTAGCATTTCAAGTGAAGTTGCATGTTGAATGAGAAATTCAGCAGCAACAATGTCAAAGTATTGGCCAGCCAATGTAAAAAATTAGCAATCAGCAACATAATATTTAATATTGCTTGGACCCATTTCAATGGCTATGTCAATCAACTCGCTGCACAAATCAACTCCTACCACAGAACTACCTTTTTTTAAATTAAAAATTCTTGTGTAATAACCATCTCCACAGCCAAGATCTATCACAGATTTCCCTTCAATGTCCCCAATAAGTTAAAGATAATTGGGTGCTTCCATTTCATTTTTAAGTTTTTAGGTCTCAATTCTATGATACTCTTTCTTAGTTTAATATTAATTATTGGGGATTTAGTTTCCCTTGCGGTCCATTCTTTTTAAAATATGAATAATAATTCGATTGATCTTTTCCCTCCTATTTTGAAATTATTAATACAACTATTTATTTGTATTTTTATAAAAAACAATGAACTTTTAACCAATGGGGTTTTGGGGTTTTGGGGTTTTGGGG